TTACAAAGTCTCTCCTTAGTCGCCCTGTGTTGATAACTGGATGACGCGAGAGGGAGGTACACTGCTTACGCAACTTGTCTTAGAACATCTTGCAAGGCGGATCTCCATGGAGCAATTTAGGTTAGAGGTAAATTTTCACTTCCAGCTAAGACATAATTTAAATAAAATTATAACAGAGTTCTCTACCACCCCCTAAAATGATGATCTTCCCCATATAGCTTTGATGGCCCTCAGTCTGTGAGACTTAGTCTCTCAATAGGGCCTCATTGAACATTACAAATGGCTACGTGTCTTGTCCCTCTTCCACTTCGACATTAGTCAAGGAGAAACAGGAAACAATGTTCTTTTCGATTACGCAATGGCTACTTTTCCTATCACCTTATCAAAGAAAATGGGGAATTTTTGTAGAATTGCCGCTTCAATGAGGTCTGGGATGTGAGGAAATTCTGTCACGTTTTGCAACCTCATTTTTCCACTGGGCGCTAAAATTTCCCCTCCTCTTCCCCTACTCAACGCCTCACAGGATATGGAAATGAGGCGAAACAAATTCTCATGTTTCCTGTTAGAAGACTTTCCTTAGTGCATGGCAGTGTGGAGAGGTAGGTCGTGGGTGTAAGCACTATCAAATTGTGTCTTAGTTGCGTCCAACGAATTTAGCCACTACATGAAATTTTTCATTTTATGTAGAATGCACATGAAGTTGCCTCAGACACGTTGAAGTTCTGCTGAAGGCTTTGCAGCCTGTCACAGCACTTCACCAATGCTGAATTACCACTCCGCCTACAGACAACATGAAATATGGTGAAAGTACCAAAAATCAATGAGTAACTGAATTGCAGCATAGTTTGGAGAATGTTGAACTCCACGTTCAGGATCTATGCACTGTGTCATGCACAGAAGAAGGGCCTCAGACGAACGAAGTAAGAGGTCACGTAACATGCAGGTTAGACTTTATGTCACCACTTTCCGCAGGTTGTAAGGCATTGGGGCTGAAGGGGAGGAAAAAGATTACTTTTAAGTGAAAAATTAGGCCAGTTAAGGGGTGCAAAGTGTCTCACATCCGAAACTACACCGAAGTGACATACTCAAAAAATTTCCCATACATGTAGCCTTTTCTTTAACGGGGAAAATTGTCCAGCGTGAAATTAGGCAGAAGGTCAGTTCCTTCCTTTTATCCCTAAAACATGTCAAGATGAGGGAGGGATGAGAGAGAGCTTACGTTTTGGACTGGCAGTCCTCACGGTCTAGTCAATCAGTGGTATCTACGGAGGAAGGAGGAGCGCCAAACACAAATTGACCAAACCCTCAAATTGATCAGGCAGAACTTTGTTTACAATTAGTTTTTCTCTCTTTTTTTGGCCGAAAACACAAACTCATCTTGCGTCAAAATCGAAGAATGGAATTCGACCTTGCATGCAGTCCTCGTTGAGTAGATTGGGGGATTCCGCTCCTTCCCGCCGCCTAGCATATAACACAGGCGGGGGTCGAGGAGGGACCTCAGACCATGACTAAAGGCTTTACAGACGACCTCGAAGGTAAGTGTGAGTGGTGGAATCTGCCCTTACCCTGATCTCTGTCAGTGTCACTTGAGAGATGACAGTCTACCTGATAAATAACGAGAGATAATGAAGAACGGATGCGTACACACTAACTCCTAACTCCCTGCCATTGACAGGAAGAAAATAGTTTACTGTATTTTTTCAGACCGTCATGCTTCCGTTTCAGAGCAGGAGGGAAGTACAAAATACACTTCCGCAGTATGATTTCTGGTGAACGGGAATAATGTGAAGGCGGTTTCGTAGTGGTAGAAGTGACTTCGGTCAACCTATGTAAAGAACCGCAAAGGTTCCTGTATAACCCCAAGAATCTACGATTACAGAATATCGCACCAATCCAAGGAGACATGTCAAACTTACTAGGAATAGTACTGTTGTCTCTTGAGGTCAAGAGAAAGCCTAGCATTAAGCATTTTTGTTTCTGCCTCATTTCTATTTCCCAAAAATGTGTCCAATGCCAATATACCGTCACAGATATCACCTGGACGTATACCTGGCATTGGAATGAGAGGAAGATTGAGGCCAAAGCAGTATCCTTCCACCTTTGCTCCCCTTTCCCCATGATAAAGTAGAAACATTTGAGCCGATTCAGGGCTGTTACCCAGACTCACTGGAAAAAGAGGCCTTTGTGCAAATAACAGAAGCATGTGTGGATCAGGCATTTTTCTTGTGGCTCCGAAGTGGAAGGGCTAATCAGATTGAGCTGAGAAAGAAAGCACATTACGTGGTTTCGCCCACCACTGCACACCTTATATGAATTAATAGCTACAGCGCTGGTTACTTAGTGGACTCATTGAAGCGACCAGATGGGAATGAGGGAGAGCTAAGTAGATGGTTGATGAGGTGCGGGAAGAAGCAGAACAGAAGGCATCGTAGACTCTAATATATTATATTAGTGGAAACGGTTCTAACAGAAGTTGGCAGAAAGCTTTTCCTCCTTCTGTTCTACCAATTCAGTCATGCACCGTCTAACTACTACGATTGGGCCAATAAAGAAGGTGGAGTTTTTCTGCCTTTAGAAGTGGAATAAATTGACAATTGTCTTCTTGACTAGAGTTGATACGCAGATAGCGCGAGGTTGGGTAAATTGAGGAGGTAAAATAGGGAAGGACACGGTGTCAGTTTCAAAAAGTTCATTTTTATCTCCCAATTTACCGGTTTCCGAATCATTCACCCAAAAGTAAATAAATTGGCCGATTCATCATTTACTTAGTGTATGCTAGTGCTGACACTCCCCCTTAGCAGGTCATTCCTACCTGCTTTAGATGAGTGACACCAAACTTCCACTTCTTTGTGAATACAATGAGTGGAGTGTCAACCGTCCCTGATGTCACAGAGATGTGACGAAGGCCATTGAGACACTTCTGCATGATTGTGATCTGACTTGATGTTACTTGCGATTGTAGTCCCACTACACCGTCTTCAGTTGCTGTGTGGCTTTGATGAAATGTCTGTGAGAGGCTGAGGACACCGAGGCCAACGTCAATCATAAAGCAGACAGACATCAATCGTGTCGTCACATCCGACAGTCTGCTTCAACCGACATCGCACTGTGTGAGCAGCGCTACGGTGTGGGGCGAGGATGAGTAGACACAACAATGGGGATAAGCCATTGGTCAGCTGGCTTGCAGTAAC